GGGGGGGGGGGTCTTCACCTGAACCCTGTTGAAACGTTATACTTCAGCTCTCTATATTTTTCCCTATCAACAGATCTATCTATCTAAGAATATATGTAAATGTAACTGTTTATATCTGTTTATATGTGAATCAATTATTTTGGTTTTTCATCTTTCAGTAAGTTTAATATTCATCTATAAGTCTACGTGAATTTATATAAATGTCGATCTGTTAAATTATCTATATCCATAATTCTCTTTCTCTATATATATATATATATATTATTAGCTGAAAGGCCCATCGTTGCCCGTAGAAAAAAAAATTGAAAAAAAATATTTGAAAAAAAATGAAAAAAATCGTTTTTTAGCCGCAAAAAAATCAGCCCAATCGGTCAAGTCTGTTGGCCGGCTATGCGCATTGCGCAACATATATATGAATGTCTTGTTTTATTATATAGATCGATGTCTTTATATCTATTGTCTATTCATCCTGTCTAAAATCTATATATCTATCTTTTATATCTAATATCTATCTATCTATCTTTCAGCAAGAGATACATCTGTTAGATTTCATCTTCTTAGACACCCCCCCCCCCCCCCCNGTTAATAAGGATATAGAAATAAAACATAAACAAACATGATCTTGCATCTTTGCTCTATACTAGCCAAACATCCGTCATAGTATTTTGTCATTTTAAAGATTATTAATATTTAAAATTGATCTAAAACTTGTAGCAGAATCATTCACCACCTTTATTTTCTGTAGATTTTACGAATTTTCTAAACTCTGTTTGTGGATTTTTTGTAAAGTGTTCGATTTTTTCCATGCCATGCCAGGTTTCAATAAATAAGGGGCCTCTTGGAAATTTAGTTTAAAAATAATAATAATTTACTAATTGTCGAATGTCTGTTCAAATTTACAATTAATTTACCAAGTGCCAGGGGTTTAATGTATAAAGCTAATCTCCACATAAAATTAACTTTTTGTCCATTTTCGGCTTCTTAAAACTTCTTTAACTTCTTAAACCTCATAATTGAACAAAAAGGTCTCTTGTCATAATTTTATATTGTGTCGTCTCTGCTATTGTGTAAATATTAGGATCAAAGAAAAATAATTCTACAATGTCATCTTGGACATTTAAAAACATTTTTTACCTAAAAATACATCTTAATATATCCCTTAGATATATATTGATATATATTTAATAAATGGTTTATAAATCCTAGCTTGCCACCCGGGAAATCATTTCTTTACAAACCATATATTTTCAATTTTAACCATTTTTCTTAAAATTTTTCATTTAAAAAGAATTCTTTTTTATCAGTTAAGTCTCCATACACTTTTTGGAGCTTTCTTG